CCCCCCCCCCCCCCAGTATAAACAGTGTGCACTTATTCTCATAAGAAATGTATTGAAGACGAATATTCCTCTTAAAACATCAAGGAAAACTACAATTGTTGAGGACAAATTGCTCTAACTGCATGACATAAAAATAATTTCAACTGCATTAACAGAACTGAATTTTTCTATAAATGGCACTTAAGTTTTAGTGTCAATTCTTCTCTCTGCAAGAATTAGAAACAGTTAAATTATTTAAGTAAATTAAAAATAGGTAAAACTCTATTCTCAATTTTTACTGAGGACCACACCATGAGGAACCTTAATATTCCTTCCAAACATAACCTTCCTCTTCCTCTTCCTCCTCTCATTTCAAGTTGAGTATTAGAACTTTTGCTGCAGTAGAAGTTTTAGAACCTGGTATAGTTAGAAGCAGTACATAATGTTACCAAGAATAAAAATGGAACCTGTCACATGCAGATTCTACAAGCTAATTATTGTTTTAATCCACACAGCGTGTCCACAGAAGAAGGATGTCAAAACTGCATCTTATGACTGTGGTCTACTACACTGTCTCACACAAACAGTGGATATTACTGGAACTTCAAGTGCCCACATACTAATTATTCTAACTGGTTTTATTTTAGCTATTACTGAATGACCTAATTCTAGCTTTCTGGGACTTCCACAGAAGGGAGATATATTTCAAATACAAAAATATCATGCATCACACAGGCATCTTGAACAACAAAAAAGTGGCAGTGCAGACAGATATGCACAGAAAACTTTTTTTTTTTTAATTGCTTAGGTTTGTGTGGAATATTCTTCTCTCATTGTTAGAGCCTCCAAAACACACTCTAAAGGAAAGCAAGCTAATGTACTTATAGATCTACAGAAGGCATGTGAAGAGGTCTTGCTGACAATACTGTTCTTGCATGCAAGCGAGAGCAATTGGTATTCCATCTGGAAAAGCACGCTGTTCTGAGACAGAAAATTCTTGCCACTGGCAAAGTTTATGGTATTAATTTGTAATGGTGGATTTAAGGAAACATACTAAACTAATATTCATTTACTTGCATAATTATGTGTTTTCTACATAAACCGACAGGCTTTACCTTGCCAATACTGGCACTGAGTTAATAGAAAACAGGACAAGGTGGGTGTACATGTATGCCAGCTCTGATGAATGTCAAGCTCAAGTTACAGATTTGCTTCTTGAATTAACATCTGTACAACGTACTACCTAATGCATTACCCTTCAGAGTATTAAATCTGCTATTTTTAATATTTTCATTGCAGTTTAGCTTTGATTATTAATCTGAGAGGCGAAAAGTTAAACTGTATCTTAGCTTCTTTGCCACTTGATATATTAAACAGCCTTCATACCTTAAATTCACTTTAATAAGGCATGCAATTATTAAAGCATTACAGAATGGCCCCAGAGCACACAAGCTCCATTAAATTTGCTTACATCCAATTATGTCCGCCTGAGGCAGGTGAGAAATTGACTCTGATAAGATCTTTCTTTTACCTGTAGCCAAAAAAAAAAAAAAAGGAAAAAAAAATCTCACAGTCGTTTTCTATCTAATTGCTATCTACAAGTATTTATGGTATTTGCTCCTCAAAAGAATAATCAACAAAGGACTCATTGAGCACTAACAAGTCTGTTTTAAGTTTTTTTTCTTTTAAAAGGCTGCAGAATACAAAGGAAAAGCTAATCTCGCTTCAGGGACGAGGCAATAATGTCTGTTTGTGAAGCAGTTTTATCTCTTGTTTAAATCATCTGTTTTCTTTAATATATTTTAGATAAATTATAAACAGTACATACTTGTTCCATTTTGGGGCCATTGTTTGTTTGCTTATTTTTCCTAATTAGTTCCCTTTAATTATATAAAATAGCCTAAACTCCATGAAATATAATTTTGATCAGAAAAAGCACACTGTATATTCTTGCTGTCATTCATTTTTAATTCTTCAGCTTAAGGAATGTAAGTATTTTATTTTACAAAAAATAGAACAACCATCCAACCTAAAAAATTTTACATAGCTTGAAATTTTTATTCCCTTAATTTTTTTTTTATTTTTTTTTAGATTTAAAAAAGTGTAATACAGTAGAAAACACAGCATTTAACTCTGATGGTCTCCCACAAATTCAGGAAAATTCCATTAAACTGCATCATTTGTTATTTTTCTGTGAAGTAGGGAACATGGCATTTCTAATCCCATTTACAGACCCTATGTGAGCCCATCACAGTGATAACATAAAAAGTTGTTAAAAAACAATATCACCTAAAGAGAAGTGAATAAAGAACAATAAAAAAGAAATCATCTTTAAAAATGTATAGTTTACATACATAGTATGTAAAGTATAAATGGATTATAATTCAATTCCTGGTTGATATTTCAGTAGAAATAACTTTGCTATAAATGAGTCCTTTAAAGAAGATGGACAGACCTTAAGAATTAAAGTGATAATTGTCCAAAAGAACAAGCCATCAGATTTCTAAGGCAAGCTTATGCAACTCTGTTTTTTAAACATACTGTATTGGCCACCAAAACCATTGATGCTACTGAATTGTAATAGTAGCCATTCTTTGGTCCAGTGGACTATAGACCTTCAGTCAACTCAGAAAAGAAACGGTCCTTTGGTCCTGTTACGCATAAAACTTCACCTATTATTTTTAAATGCAATACTGAATAGAAACTTGAAATGAATATAGTCTACCATATAATTATATTCCATATTTCTCAGCCATATTTTTATGTGGCACATAAAACATGTCATTCAATAAGACTTGCTATAAAACTTCACTTGAACTCTAAACAATAAACAAACAAATAATCTTTTGATTTGCTCTATTACACAAACCTCATATGACATATTTGACAATGCAAAGATATTAATACTCTGGTGCACTAAGAAACTATAGTGTAAAAGCCACTTTTTTAGAAGAAAATGACAAACTTGCAGTTTGCTATATGTTTTGTAAACTCAGAGACTGTTGTTACACTAGATGTTTTAGCCTCATATGACATATTGTTTTATGTTAATTTGTTATATTTCTATTAAAACTTTTATGGTTGTTTTATAATATCGTGTAGTCACCAGTTTGCATAATCTATAAGTGTCAGTACTGTGAACCACTGAATTATGCTTGCATCTTTACTGCAATTCAAAACTAAATTGTAACACAAAACTTGCAAAGGAATTTAATAACCATGCTCTGAAGAATTACTTTCCAGCTTATTCTTCTCAGAGAAAAGAATGAATTGTATACAAGTAGTTATTCAGACAGCATGACTGTTCTTCAACTATACTGGTTTTGGCTTTTCTTGTTTTTTTTTTGTTTTTTTTTTTTTGGTTTTTTATATTTATTTATTTATTTATTTATTTATTTATTTATTTATTTATTTATGCTCATACCAACATTTATTATCCAGAACAGTAGAACAACTTCTCTGTTTCTTTTTCTCTTATGTTGTGGATTTGTTCATTGAAGTTTTGTTAGACAACACTGTTTAGAGTCTGAATACATACCAAAAGCTGCCACTTTTATAATTATGGCTTCAATGTTAGATGATATCATTTCTTTAAGCAATATTTCCTCCCTCCGACGCCAAAGGTAAGCTAAAGGTTGAAGATTAAGTCTTCTGCATCTTAAAAGAAAGAATAACAACAAAAAATGAAAACCAAGCATTATATTTTTGTACAGAATAAGTAATTTAAAATTAAAGAAAATGATAAAGCTAACATTAAAAAAAAAAAAAAAAGAATCTTGTTCTGACTGCAGTTTACCTACATAAGATGCAACTCATTGATATCCATAAATTTGAATGGGAACATAAGGAAAACTGAAAGGAAATGCATTTCTAAACCTTTATGGATGAAAATCCTTTAACATCTTAGGAAATGATAACTTTTTTATGAACACAGCTAAGGCAAGAGTTACTATGAGATAACTGTTGCACATGTTAGCAAATAAAGTTTGTTGCTCTCAACAAATCTGTGATTTGAATCAACAGCCAATGAAGAGAATCACTAATGGGAATGTTTACAGTTTGAGTACAAAGTAATAACTCGATAATGTAAATTTAATTATTTGTTTTTATATATATCATACTGATATAGTATTTGATTATCATAGTAGAGAATCACTAATTTGCTAATGGTTAAACCTTCTGTTAGTTGTCAAGTACCATCAGTTGGTGATAAAGTGTATAATGCCTATGTTCTGGAAAATTTAAAAACATTAAAATATGGGGACTACCTCAATGTGTGAACAACAGAAGGAGATGACAGTGTCTTCTACTGGGATACAAGCACTACGGACCAATAAACAATATTGAAAAAAATTAGCTCAACCCTTCTGACAACTGATGATGACTGAAGAGGAGCGCAATCTCAGCTGCTAACCCTAAATGAGGGCAAGGAGGGGCAGACCCAGAATCCACCCCTTCTGGTCACTCAAGTGCAGCTGAGCTCCCTGGGTTTGCCATGCCTCTTCACCCAGTGCTCAATCATTGGTTCAGGCCATGACTTGCTAATTCCACTGCACTCAAATAACTCAAAAGTTTTATTTATTTGTCACTTAACACTGCTTGATAAAATAGATATCCCATCACTACTACCATCAAGAATTTGTAGTTAAATGGATTTCTAATGTTGACATCTACATTCATAGTTAGCACCCATGTATATCTGATTGGTTTTGTGATTGTTTTCAGATATTTCAATAGAGAAATCAATTGTGAAATTACTAGAAATATTTAGCAACTCTGAATGTCAAGGAGTTCATTTAGGTGCCCAAATGTAAAAAACATTTGTGAAGAGTAAACCTTCAAATCAATATTAATAAGAACTCTTTGAAATATAGTAATACTGCATCAATCTTTCAGCTGTAATAAAAGATCTGAAACCCATAATCAACAGAAGCCATCTCTTCTAGAATATCTAGTAACATGACCAGGTCATTAAACTGCCTATTGTTCCTTTACATCAGTACGCACATTGAATGTTATGGAAAAGAAGAAGAAAGGAGCTATTTCTGACAGCAATTTACCTCTGTAAAGTGTAAAGAAAACATCTGTGCTAGGTAACTTGCTGTTGTGAGCAGAGATGGCATTAAATCAAATTCAGAATTATTACGGTTCATAAAGTATTCCACATATTTGCTTGTATCATCAACAAATAACTAATGGACTCAGGAAATTATAATTTGTATTTAGGCTTTTTTTTTTTTTTTTTTTTTTGCATTTCTGAAGCATAGAATAAAATTTTTTTCCATACCCAGATCAGCCTGAATAACACACAACTGGCAACAATTCCCATTACATAATTCTTTTTTTGTTTTCCATTTAGACTTTCTGAAGTATCACAATTTATTCAAGCTTAAAGAATGTGCATAGTAGAAATGATTACTGAAAATTCCTGATTAACAATTATGGACTTCAGATTTCAAGCAAGTAATGGAAGATTGGTGAATAAGGACTGTCTTCCATTTAATTCCTGATAACAAGTTACAAAACGCCCCCACTTTAAAATTTTCTTGAAAAATACATATACATGACCACTGCAATTGATGTATATATATATATTATACACACACACACACACACACACACACACACACTCACACGTCTCTGTAATTGATTTCAACTGAAGCTCACTCAAAGACCTGAACCTATTTCAACTTGGAGAGTAATCCCAAATTCTGGCATACTTTCTACTGGATTTTTACTAATAACATGTATCACATACAATGCTAATAAATATGAAACATAGTTTCAGGAAAAAAAAAAGAAAAAAATATATATTTATATTAGCAAATTGAATGAATTAGGTATCACAGAACATGAGAAATAAATTCATCTGTTCCAGAATTTGTTGGAAAACAAATGAACAAAACATTTTCCAGTATGTGTATGTTAATAAAGATATAATGTGTTCTTACACATCTTCAACTCGAACTCTCTGGTAGTCAGAAAGAATAGCTCCCACAGACACACCCTCCACTGCTTCTTTGTCCTGAAAGAATACAAGGAATAGTAATGATAAACATTGTATACTGGCCTAAAAAATGGAGTTTGAGTACTTCTATCAGAAGAATCAACCAAGAATAAATGATTTTCCCTGTGCCGAATACATGGAACAAAACAGGCTGCAATGCAGATCTTACATAGAAGAGAGCAACATAGCATGATGGTTATGACTCCAACAGAGTAAGCAAGTATCATTCTACAAGGAATAATCACTGTAACTAAAAAATACCAGATTTAACAGCCTATCCTAATACTTTCCTGACATCCTGAAAATGACTCACAGCTCTTCACTGTAACTGAAATGTCAGCTATCCTACCTACAAATAAATCAGTAATATACAATCATAAACTATAATCAAAATGTTAGCATTTGTTGTAAGAAACAGCACAGAGGACAAGAATAAAACATGGCAGAACATTTGCATGGAACTTAACATCACCTACAAATTGTAATAAATAAATAAATCAAAGCTTTCCCAATACATTGTCTCTGTAGCCCTGTTTTATTTCAATTACTTAAGCTAAAAGTTCTTTATTTTTTTTCTTGTGAACACACTGAAAACATAACATTTGAAAATGTACATATGTAAAATATTTCATGAGCTTTCGCCTTTTTAAACTCCTTGGGTCCCAGTCAACATGTTGGACTCACTTCCTTTCTTTGACGTTACTCTAGACACAGTTGCTTTGTTCTTTCAATCAATGTTAATTATATCTATACAAGGTGAATTATGTTCTGGAGCTAATCACTTACACATCAACCCTTTGAAGCTTGCAGAAAGACTACCACAAAATTTTGAACTATATATCTGTGTACAAATTTCAAAATCAAATCAGTCTATCAAATCCTGCCATAGTACTGAACTAAAATTCTCCTTCAGAGTTTTAATAATTCTGCTTTACATTTGTCTGGGACACCTCTTCTTCATACTCTTTATATTAATTTTCAGAGGTGTCCAGTGCTAGAATGAGAGGTAGTGGGCACAAACTGGAAAACAGGAGGTTCCACCCGAAAATCAGGAAGTACTTCTGTGCTTCATGGATGACAGACGACTGGCACAGATTGCCCAGAGAGGCTGTGGAGTCTTTCGGAGATCTTCAAAAGCTACCCAGGCACGGGCCCAGGCAACCTGCTCTTGATGGAACTGTTTACTCAGAGATCACTTCCAAACTCATCCATTCCATAATTCAGTGATGATAAGTTGATTCTATTACTGAGCAAAAGTAAAATGCACCACTCCTAAAATGTCAATGGATCTACTACTCATCAACTCCACATGGAAAGAAAGATATAGGATGTCTTTGCACTCAGATTTAATTAGGAAACAATTTTCAGATGGAGGAGTATGTATGCTCTTTCTCCTATATGAAGCCTCTTTAGAGCCTTCAAATTAACCAGCTACAATTCTCTACGGAGTTGTTTTAAAATAAAGGCGACATACACAAAAGCCAATAACCTTTCTTCAGAGTCAAGCAGAGTAAAAAAATAATATATCAAATAAACATCTCAACACTCAACATGAAGTTTACTTACACACACACACACACACACACACACACACACACACACACACACACACACACAAAAAGAAGAAGAAATCAAGATATTTTCTTTCTTTTTCAAACATATTTGAGTAATAGCACCCTCAGGAAAATTGATGTAAATTACTAATTAGGTTAATTTAAATTCACAGTTAACTTTTAAGTCAATTAAATATTAAGGCCAGTGAATAAAGTCATTCTGAATAAGGGTGTCCAAAAGAATATTTAATGCTGTTAAATAATCCCTTTTGGAATTATTGGATTAATTTGTTTGATAATCTATGGGAGAAAAGCTCTTTTTCTAATGTAGGTTTTCTGTATGACAGGAAAGAAGAATCACCATAGCAATGAAAAAGACTGCTAATGTTCAGAATTATTCAACATGGAAATGCTTTTTCAAGAGTTCAATTCGTTGTTCTTTTTTTCCCTCAAAATTAGAATACAAACACTAGGCTCTTGAACTTAATTTATAGTTAGCCCTATTTTGTGTTCTTTAGAGAACTAAATGAATAATGAAAAAATGTCTGAAGTACTTATTATTATACGACACAAGCTATATTTTCTGAATAAAGTGTAAAACTCAAAAAATGGAATCACAATGTCTTTCAAACCTACTTCTTCATATCTGACAAATGCTACGTTTTTATTTTGTTGTAGAACATATCGGGCTCAGTGTAAACAAACATTGGCAGAGTCTAGGAAGAATTCGCTTATTCTACTTACTGAGATTACTAGATTATTTTTCGTTTGTTTGTTTGTTTGTTTCCATTAAATTAACAGCAGTTTGCACTCTACTAAACAGAGCTGACTGCAATCCAACCTTTTTCAGAGTCCTTTAAAATACAAACAAACTTTGCCAAGTAATAAAAATCTTCATGGTCACACAATACACAATATTAACTCTAATTAATTAACTAAATCATGAAAGTAATGCCTTCTAAGAATTTCCACAGAAACTACAACAGATACGAAGAACACAATAGCACTGTGTTCAAAAGTAGATTTTCAGAAGTTTTTATAAGACTGAGATGTATAATATCCTTCATTAATAGAATGTTATGTAGAAGAAAAAAAAAAAAAAAAGTCAAGAATTAAAAGAACTACATTTTAAATTTGCTTTTTATAAAAAAAAAAAAAAAAGAGACCTTCACTCCTACAAATTCCAAGACTGATATACAGTCAAACTTTTCAATAGAGAACGTAGCAACACAAATAACTCCTGCAAGCGGCCTATGTTTGTGGCCTTAGAGTTCTGACTTCTACCCTTTAGAAAATGATAGTCACTTCCATGGAACTAAACTCTGAGATCTTATAATCTCACAGAAAGTGAACAGACCACATTTCAAAATTATTTATATTTAAGGACTCAGAATAAAAGTATAAATTAAACAACTGTTTTATGCACATACTTGTAAAGGGTTTTGCTTTGAGTAGTAGCATCAGCAATAATTTTTAAAAGCAGAAGAACTTGGAGCTGACCAATTAAGCAGATTCACAATGCTGCCAATGCTTATTGTTCCTATTTTATTTCTATGCATACCTGTTGCCTGCAATAGCATTATGTTGTAAAGGAAACCACTTCATAATACAATTTAAAGTTACTCTGAACTCTTACTCTTATTGTAATTTTGAATAGAAATGGTTTGCCAACAACCTTTTATATTATACTGTCATCAATTTTTATAGGCAATAGAATTGTAACTGTTATTTTGCTGTTGTTGATTTGCTAACAGGTTCAGCTGAAATATTTGGGGCTTTCCTAAATGTTTCTTTCAGAAAGAAATTATTCACAAATGAAATGTTCAGTCATAGTGTCTGTGTGGAGAATAGTAATTAGAAACTATTTTTAGGGTATATTTTCCACACAGTTGAGGAAAGTTCTTATTAAAATTCTCATTGAATATAGCATCATACTGTTTTTGTGTTTGGTTGGCTTTTTTTGTTTTGTTTTGTTTTGTTTTTTTGCATCTATTTATCCACTAAAACAAACAAACAAGGAAACCATGAGTTCAGATATTCTGAAAAAAAGAGTCACTACTTATCATTTAAGTAACAACTTTTACTGCTCAAGTTACAAGTGGCAAACTATCCCACAAACCAATGTTTTTGTATCTCATAGATAAACTGCATGTGTAGTCTCAACTAGATTAACTTCCAAGTCTATGTATGATAAATAAATATATCATATATAATTTTCCATATGCTTTTATAATACATATGCTTTTCTTTCCTCACCAAAAACCAAACTGTTTACTATTATAACCATAACATTTATTATAGTGCAGTGATACCTCTTTAGTTATACAATTATGCCTAGCTACAATTAATTTAATGAGTGGAGGTATATGTGTATGAATGCGTATACACACATACACAAAAAAGTATATATTCATATATATACATGTATACAACACATATTGAAGTTAGTAATGAACAGAATATTGTCATAGTCTGTTTGCTTGCAACCTATACTATTTCTTATTTAAATATTCATACACTATTTATTCTGTTCTTATACTAGTTTATTTCTTTTAATAATGCATAAGTTTTTCATGATCTTTTGAAAAGGCAGTACTTCATGCCATATTTCAGTTCTGGTTAGCATCTAAGTGTAAGGACTTCTAACAGGGAGCTATTCACCACCATCATTTTAATTTAGTTTTTCTGCAAATACATAGTTCTATCAATATGCAGACAGCACAGTGCCACAAGGGGAAACAATTTACTATTGGTAAACTTAATGTAGTTAATAAGTGCTTTGCAACAGAAGAGCTAGTTAGTACAAATATATATATCTCACAAAAGGGTATAAATTCAATTATCTTATTCTGTACATTTCAACAAATCAAGACTAGAGCAGAACAAATTCAAGAAAAAATTGCTGAAGTGTAATAATCTTCATAAATTCCTCAACTGGACCAAGTTTACAGCAAAACCTTACTGTAGTTGGTATTTAGCTCAACACTTCAAGCTGAAAGAAACCTAGTTCTTCACTAGATTCACTGTGTGGCTGTCATGGTTTTATGATTTTTGGTTATCAGTATTCCACATCATAACATCATCACTGGGAGTTTAACTGTTAATGCTCAAGTTCTGGGTACCCAGAAAAGGGTGCCCAGAAAAGAAGAACTACATTCCCCAGGGGACTTTGCAGTCACACAGAGGAGATAAAACTCCTGGCAAGGTCACCTGATGCGCTCTTCTTCATCCACTCTTCTCCTGCCACCCTGCTGCTCAACCAGACTGCGCATCTCACAGCGTTATGGTGAGGCCTATCCACCTTTTGGACACTCTCTCTCTCTCATTATATTTGATTTATTAGCTTCAATTCTAATTATATTGCATTATGGTGTGTTATCTTGCATTCCGATAATATACTTAATAAATTAGTTTGTTTCTCCTCAGATCGTTGCCACTGCTTTTAATTATTTTGGGGTCCCCTGT